CAGGAGAGCCAGAACTGAAAACCCACTAATTGTTTGATTCCTGAGCTCCGTGGTCCCTGAGGGACGTCAGGAGGAACGAAAGGACACATTGGATAGCCAGGATCAGTTCTCTTGAACCCTTCCCCCATCTTCATTTGGAGGAGGGGCACAAAAATAATACAGAGGGGTCCTTGTCCACGATGTCTGTGAGACATGGCCATCAGCAGTGCGGCGTGCGCGGGGGAGAGGCGCTGACAGCGTGAAAGCCAGGCTTTCTTCCACCTAATTGGATTTTGTTATTCAGCTGAGAAACGCTGAATGGCTTGGGTGGGCTCTGAGCTTGGGATTTCAGTGAGGAAGTCGGGACGAGACGGTAAAGTAGGTCACGCTGCTGCAAACAGGGTTGATACGGTTTTGCACAACAGTCGATGTTAAATAAGGAGGTGGTGAAATGGAAAGAAAAGGCAGAATGTAAGGGAGGAAGAAAAAAATGAGCTCAGCCTCCGCTATTCACTCCTATCAGGAGGCCCTGCTGCAGGCTCCCATCTTGGGCCCCCCCCCGCTCCCCCCTGCACCCGGAGGGCACCGGCCTCCTGCTCTGCACTGGAGCAAGAGGGGTTTGGCCCAGTTTAAATTTCCAGTTGGTTGTGGGGAGTTGGTGGCAATGGTTTCTCCTGCTCTTGGCAGCTTAACTTCATGAGCAGCGTTTCCCAGGGTGGCCGTTTGTGAGCCTGGACCCTCTTCAGAGACACAACCATATTGTGTTTATCCAAAGGGAGAAGGTGCGTGGGGATCAGGAAAAAGATTTGACATGGGACATGCCACGGGGCGGCTGCGCAATGCTGGGGCATTAATTAACATGCAGGAGAAGATGACAAGCCAAGGTCACGAGGCTTCGGTGCTCTCTACAGACATGGATGAATTTGAAAGCATGTTGGACGGTTGGCAAAAACACTCCTCCGCTCCAGTTATATGTCAAAATGCCAGAGCCAGTCTCTGGATGGCTATGGGGCTTCCTCAGACACCGGAGGTATTAAATCACCAGCTACCCTGCTTTTAATTGACTCTAGTGACAAAGGGAGAGCGAGCTCAGATGATGATGCCCTGTAGGTCTTCACCGCACAACAGGATTATTTCAAGGGCAGCTGGGGTCAGGCTGGAAAAACGTGTATTTAAAAACCAACAAGGCACTATGGGTTTCATTTAAATGAGACATAGGAGTACCAGCCTTTTGCATCTGGGGAGGTTCAGCACAGTCAGTCCCTGGGGATGGAGCTGCTGGGACCTGGGCCTGGGAGAGGTCTGGTCCCACTAGCTGCCTGCCCGGTCCCATCTCCGAGCATCTCCCTGCCCTCTCCTCCCAAATGATTTTTGGAGCATGGGGAGCACCCTGTTACAGAGCTGGGGAACTGAAGTGGAGAGAGCCCATGGGGCAAGCTCCAGACTGGGGCAGAAAGGAGTTGTGTCCTGTCCAAGCTCTCCTGTGGGGCCGGGGCCAGGCAGAGCAAAGCGGGAGGTGTGGGACAAGGGCCCGTTGGCGGCCTGGGTCTGCCAGCAGCAGTTTGCTGCCACTCCTGGGCCTGTGCGAGGGCCAGAACCTCCAGGGGATTGGCACACTGGGCTCCTGGCCACCTCCTGGGGACAGTGTCTGGGCTCCTGACACCCTCCGGCGAAGGCCATGCTCCCGGGAGCTCGGGAACACACAACCCCTGCCACGCCACCGGGCAAGCGTCTTTCCCGAACACTCAGTCTTTCCCGAGCGCTCAGTCCCAGACAAAGCTGAGCTTGACCTGCTGAGATGGCAAAAAAGCTCTTTTAAAAAGCAAAACAAATCACATTTACATTTCTTCCCCTGTACCTCCCAGTTCCAACCCAGCGCCGCTCCGGCTGTAGCTTTATCCCGACTGTTACATCCGCTTCCATCTCCCACTCTCCCTTTACTTTGTTGCTGCTGACCAAGAAACCTTTGTATTTTGCATCGCATTTAATTCCATAGCAACAGGTTGCTGCTGTCACAGCAGCTGGTGATTGCTTTTGAATTGTCTTTCAGGCAAGCTCCAGAATAAATACAAAAGAGCGGGTCTTTGCATGGCTCGTATCAAAGCTAGCCCGTCGCAAAGCCTCCCGAGCTGGTATTTAAAGTCCCAGAGTCCTGTACAAAACCTGAATCAACAAAACTGAAAAGGATTTCATTCACACACTCCCTCTTTTTCCCTCTCCTGCTCATCAAACAGTAATTTCTACCCTGAATTGGTTTCCCAAAGGGCTCTTTAATGAGCTTTTTCTGTGGAGCCTTACACTCACATCTACCCAGCCCACGTCAGCCAACGCTGCTGCCCACCCAGCTCCTGTGGGCAAGGAGAAATGTTCCCAGCCTCCTTCACGTCTCAGAAATTCAGGCTCCAAATCCCTTTTGAGACTGTGCGTAACACCCGTAGGAAGCTTTGCTTCCCGAGCCCCCCAGCCCCTGCTAGTAGAGGAGTTCGCAAGGCTGCCGTGGATTGCTCGCACCGCTAGCTGCTCGGAGCGATGCTCTTGCACTTCCAGTGCTGAGCAAAGCTGGAGCTGCTGGTCTCGTAGTGGGGGAGACCCCAGAGCCTTCCCAGAGCAGGGCCGGATCAGAGCCCTGCTCCTCGGGGATGGGGAGAGATGCACACAGAGGAGAAGCATGAACTGGAGCCCCAGCTGGAAAGCTTGTCTCGCCTGCCAACGGGCCCCTTTCTTGGGAGCTGCAGCAGCCAAGCGAAGGCAAATAAGGAAAACAGAAGTACAATTTCTTCTCCTCTTCCTTAGAAATTACTGGCTTTCCCTGCAGGAGTACGGCTGTGTCTGGGTGGGGCCCCCTCGACCTATTTGGCAGATATTAGCGTTACAGACTCAAATCTTCTCCTAAAATCATAGCACGGTCAAGCCGAGCGAGAGCAGCCATGGGGAAGGAGACACCTGGTGTCCTCAGGACACGAGAAGCCCTAGACTGTATTCCCAGATCTACCACTAACCTTGGACAAGACACTTGACATCGTGCCTCAGTTTCCCAAGCACTGAAGCAATAATAATTACAGCTGGGCTGGTTGCTTAGGTGGCTGTTTGTGAACCACCCCACCGAGTGCCAACCCTGTTATTACTCCTCGGCCCTGTTATTAGACCTAAATCCAACTTGCTTAAGAATGAAGACTCCTGTGAAAAACACACAAATGGTTTCCCAGATCATCATTTTTATTAAAGTTCACAAGCAGCTGAAGGAAAAAAAAAAAAAAGACTAGAAAATGTAAATAAACATCATTCAGAGCATCGCAGACTGGCTGTGCACAGTGTGCTCTTCCCGGCAGCAACGCGTGCTCGCTGCTCCGAAAAGACCTTTGTTGTTTGAAGCCATGTCAAGGCTTTTCATCGCATTGCATCATTCAGCTGGGCAGGCTACAGCTTAACCTAAGCCAGGAACGAAAGGCAAGTCTGGAGCATCTGCAGGACCAGATCTGCTGCAGAGGGAAGCGGGATGCTGGGGCGGTGCAGGACCAGCCTTCGGCGGTGGCCAGGCCTGGAAGAGGCCAGTCAGGAGCTGCATCCCCTTATCGACAGCCAAAATCCACATGCCGTCCTCCACAGCGTGAATGAGGAGCGACTCGGGCTGACAGCTCTTGCACGGATAAACCCAAACACAGTTGGCAGCCAGTGTGAGCAGGTAACCCGGGGCAGCCAGAGCCCAGCCTTTGGCTGCCAAAGCTGGAGCCCAACCTTTCACCTCTCCAAGGTGAAGCCGGGATGCACGGGGCAGCAGGAAGGAGGGGATCCCTCCCTGCCAGCCCTGCGATGCTCCCCTAGTTCGCTCCCTTTCCTTCCGAGGCGGCCCAAGCTCAGCCCTGCTGCACCTCTGTTTCTGCTCGTTTGCTAATTACGCCCTCACCCACGCGCTGCTCAGCGAGCGCGGCGAGGAAACTCAGAAGACCGGCTCTGAGCACGCAGTGGGTTTTATCTGGTGAATATCTCGGCAGCGAGAGCTGCCGCGCTCTTCCCAGCAGCTGCACGGGGAGCTGCCCGGCCTCCAACCAAATCGCAACTGGCTGTGGCAAAGAAAGGGGAGAAAAAAAAAATAAAAAGGCCCAAAGTGCAAAATAAAAGGCACCTGCCCTGTTTCACCGCGATACCCGCCGCTGCTGGCGGGGCCACC